GCCCTGTACCGCCTTTTGTATATCCTTTTGTCAGTGTCTGACATGAGGATGAGTCACGGCCATTGCTTGACCAATTTGTTCTCTGTGAAAGCTTGAGAAAATGTTTTTTCTCTCCATGTGACTCTCCCCAGGCTCACTTTAGATCATGGAATGCATTTCTCTGTGGCTCCATACTCTTCTTGATCAGAAAATTTGGAGCACGACTGAGTTACATGTTGTTACAGTACAGGTTCTCCTATGTCCTGAGTCTTCACTGACCTTGCAAGGCTAGGGCCAATGTTGGCTTAACCATGCAGCCCTTAGGAAGAGCTTTTAAACTATCAAAGATTGATATACTAGAAAGCTACCCTGGGAAAAAAGAACAAACACTGAATGAGTGTTTCTGATATACCTGGTGCTTTACTAAAACATTTAACTGGAAACTATAGGCACTATTCTTGATTTTAAAATGAAGAAATTAAATTTCAGGAAATAAAGTTGTTTTTCTGGTTAAACTGAGAGCCAGGATACGATCAAAGGTATGTCTGATTTATACAGAAGAGTGATCTTTATACTACTTGTACATACCAGAAAAAGCATCTTAAGCAGAAGCTTTGGGAGATTAGGAGATTGGAATTTAACTCTCAAACAACAAATCTGTTGTTAGACCTCAAGCAATTCACATCACCCTGGCAGTAACTATGCTAATGTGTTTAAACAAAAGAGAGATGACAAGGCCAGCTTTTGTCTCTGGATGATCACACAGAGAAACTGAAGTGAAGGGACAGGCCAAAATACTAAATATGATTATTTACATTTACATATTTATATGACACTAAGTCTAGGGGCTTTTCTACCCTGAATTCTAAGTTTGGGAATTTTTATACTCTACCATCTAACTCTGAAACCTCAGAATCTTGCCCAAGGTAACAACATACCCAATGAATATATAACAAAAAGAAAAATGAAGGATAAAGCAGAGCAAAACACAATCTCGCCTTTCAAACTTAGCTACAGATATATTCAGAGTAAAGACAAGAAACTATACAATGACAGAATGGAAATTTTGATTTTATAAATGAAAATACAAAATACTGCTATTGAATTAACTATGAAGCAACACTCTGAAAGCACACCTTACAGTTGAATCTTCCCAGTTCATTAATTAGTTCCAGTGATATCTAAGACTCTCTAAGTACAGATCAGATTTAACCATGTTAACAGTAACAGCTGGCAAAATTTAGCAAAAGAAGCAACAATGTTTCAATTTCTTTTTCTTCTTGGAAACATACTTCATTGCCCTATGAAACTTAAAGAGACTGTGTCCCAGCCAAGAAGATTAAAAGCTGTAGAATAGAGAATCACAGAATGTACTTCTACCTTCACACTGTGATATCCATGTCTCTCGAGAGGCCAGTTACACCAGAATATTCTTTGCAATAGCATTCAAAGTCCTTACTTTGGTCACATCTGTTACCTTTAGAGAATATTCTGAGTTAGAAAGTGAGGCTCCCATGGCAACAGAAGAATTTCTGCAGTAGACAAAAAAAGAACAGAAAGTTAAGTCTTTAAGTGAGCCTTTCCTACTCACACATTACAGGCTGCCTCAAGAAAAAGGTAAGGTCAAGGTCTTTACTTGAAAGTAAAGTAGCTGAATCTAAACAAACAATACACTTGATTTTTGCAACTAAAAATGTAAATTCTAAGGTTCTTTTTTCTTTTACTTCACATTTTTCCTTATTTAGAAGAATTCAACTATTAAATTATAGAAATTTTATCAAGAATTTAAGATATAATAGTCTCAATTCCCTAGTAGGGATATAATTTCTAAATAACTAAAATGTAGAGAGCATCGACAAATCCATCTCAATGCCCACGACTCTTCCATCGTTACATCACAGGCCTTAGTTCTGCAAAAGGAAAGCACGGGGAGCAGGCACGCGTGAGTTATCTGTTTCATCTGAATCTTAGCTGTTAATTCATTTATTATTAACTGCAGAACTCAGACCTGCAGTTCCATCAGTCCACTGAAAACAAACTAAATCTTTGTGTGGAAGAAGCAAGCAAAGGGCAGACTGAACCACAGTAAGGGTAATGGGTGGCAAGACTAAGCAAAGTTTATGGAAAAGTCTACCTATGAACTTTCGGAAATTTCTACTCATTTAATGCAAAACAAAGACCATTACAGAAATGTTTTCAACTACACAAATGACTACAATATTTATGTACTAATCATAACATCTATTCATTAATCATTGTATCAATCAAAATTGCCCTATTTGAAGAAATAAACATAACCTCATCCTTTTTTTTTTGTATTTTAGGGAAGGGTCTACAGGGTGTTCAGGGTCTCACCACTACATCAGACTCACAGTGATTCTCCTGTTTACAGCCTCCCACACACTAGGATTACAGGCAAGCGCCACCATGCCCAGTCTCAATTGCTGGCTCAGTGAGCCCTGGGGGCAGGGCTGGCAAGGCAGGCCTGGGGATCGAACCCCTAGCCCCTGCACCTTCTTACCGAAACTTCATTCCAGAGTCTCTAGAAGACCGAGCAGAACAATGAAATTCTGTAGCACCTGAACCCTCAAGGATTCTCTGTAGATTTCTGTCGGTTATGCCACCTCCTAGTAAAAAGGACAAGTAATTTATTAAGTGGAACAAAATCTTGCATAAAATATAGAGAACAATACTATTTACTGAAAATCTCCATTGTGAAATTTCTGATTAAAAACTAAAAAATGAGAAAAGTAATACAAGATGTACACTACAGATTCTAGAGAACTATTGGGCGCAGCGCTATATGACAGACTCATATTCATTAGTTTACATGGCAATGATATACTGTATATTATCTGTTTTGGGGGGGTTCACTACTAGATTGAACTCATAATGATCCACCTGTTTACAGCTTCCCAAGAGCTGGGATTATAGGTGCATACCACCACGCCCAGTCTCAATTGTCGGCTCAGCACACCCCGGGGAGCAGGGCCAGAATGGCAGGCCCAGGGATCAAACCCCTAGCCCCTGCACCTACTTGCAGGTGCTTTAATCCGCTGAGCTATTGGGACTGCCCTTATAATGTATATTATCGATTTTATTTTTTATTTATTATTTGGTGCATGGATTCATAGTGATCCTCCTGTTTCAGCCTCTCTAGTGCTGGGATTACAGGCATGCGCCACCACACCTGGTTTAGGAGCCAGCATGATGTGCCTGGGGTTCCAGGGCTGGCACTTCATGTGGTACGTGGGAGCGGATGTGGGCCCTTGTGTGTGCCAGGTAGAGGCTTAGACTGCCAAGCTATCTCTCCAGCCCCTATTATCAACTTTAAAAAGACTGATACACAGCAAGAAAACTATTCAGTACTCCATTTTTGTTCTTCAATTTAAGCAAAATCAAACTAAAATGAAAGGCAAGAATAAGTCTGAGGAAAACAGTATAGAAGTGCAACCTCAGAGATGTGTCTGAGAGAGTTTGTAAGGTTTTCTTTCTGGTGCAGGATTCAAAGAATACACTTGACTTCACTGGAAATGGTAATAAGGCAAAGTGCTATGCAGTTTATCCATAACCATACCAGTTTTGTTTCATTTCTCAGAAGAATTTAATTCTACTTTAATAATATACAACCAAATACTTTATTGACTGCTTTGTCACAGTTGTTATAATTAGTGGTACAGTCATAATTGCTGAAACTAAGAAAGAACAAAGACTGAGAAGACAGATTCAGAATGGAATCCTGGCTTCATCACTGTAGCTCTTCATAGCTGTGTGATCTTAGATAAATTATGTAAATCCATTGAGCCTCAAATTTTTCACCAATAAATTAGGAGAATAACACTGTCTACCTCACAAATTAAGAGATAATAGAAACCTATAACCCAGCATTTTAGGAAGCTGAGGCTCAAGGATCACAAGCTTGAGCCCAGCCTGGATGACTCAGCAAGATGCTCAATTTTTAAAAGCACTGGGATTTAGTTCAGTATGAAGGCCCTGAGTTTAATCCCCAGAGTCACCACTCAATCAATCAACATATGGATTAATAAACAAATATTATTTTTTCTAAAAAATAAAACATTTGGGCACTAAACATGTTACCAACAACTTTAATACACAGGTAATACGTTTTCCAAACATAGCTAACATAGTTTTGCAGTTAAAGAGCCTCAAAGAACCAGTTCAATATTCCTCTCTTTATAGATGAGGAAACTACAGCCTAAATACAGAATCTGCCCAAAAAATGTACACACGCTTCAGGAAATGAAAAGTAGTATTTTTTTTCAAGAGATGGTGCTATCTTCCTATAGGATACCCTATAGGATGTTGTGTATCACAGAAAACCCACTCCACTACCAGCCCTTAAAGAAACTGAAAATGCACAGGCAGCAATCTCAGTACTCAAAGTTACCCAAGCAGCAGCTTGTGTGCTAATAAAGTCTGGAAGGTAATGGCCACAACTTTGAGCACCTCTTATAACTGTAGAGGCCAGAGGTGAGTAGAATGAATCTCATGATGGCTCAATAAATTTAGTATTCAAATATTTATACAAGTTTTTTTTTTTTT